TACAGAGAGAATAACGCGTCGGCCGGTAAGGTCAGTATGCACGCTTGTGTGTAGGTACAAGGCGGAACTGGAACTCTGAAATCTCCCAAGTTGTGTGGATCGGAAAGGTTATAACCAAGTGTTCTTGAAGTAGAAGGCCTAATCTAGTGAACTGGCAAGAATATGGTACTAATTGGATTTCTACATACATAAGTAATGCGCTGGTCGGTTTGTGTGAGGATCTAGGATCGAGCTCAGAAAAGATGATTTGAATGGAATGATCACCTGGGTACAAGACGAGGCTATATATAGGCTCGACACAAGGCCCAGTAACCAGGTGTTACGCGAAGGTTCCGTGGGTCGCGAAGCGTCTCGAACAGATCCTTCCCGAATTCGGTAGAAGGCAATTCGGTGGCAACCGAAAAGCCAGAATTCGGTGCACGCAACCTAGCTCGGTGCTATAACTATAATAAAATATAGGAAAGCACCTAGCCTAGGAAATCAAGCAATTCATGCATGCATATAATTATCCTATGCTAGAAATAGCATGATAAAGTAGAGGCAAACAAGCATAGCTGGCATAAGCCGTCGTACTCTCACACGTCCCCCCCTCAAAGCTGGGTGGCGTGAGATACACCCTGCTTGACAAGATAGTCCTTGAGAGCACTGCGTGCGTTGCCCATATCAGCTTCTGCAACCCAACTGTCCTCAGTGGGGTCGTGTCCCTTCCAGCGGATCAGGAACTCGAGGGCCTTGCCGCCGCGGCGCCGATGAGTGAGAACGCGCTCAATCTCGTATTCTGGTTCATCCTGTATGAGTACAGGTGGTGGTGGCGGTAGCTGCCGTCCCTGGAACTGTTGGTTGGGGTCCTTGTAGGGCTTCAGTAGCTGGACATGGAAAGCGTTGTGAAGCTTCCATGTATCTGGTAAGCGCAAGCGGAATGTAATTGGTGTCACCTGTGCCTCCACGAGAAAAGGACCACAGAAGCGAGGCCGGAGTTTGGATGGTAGGTGAGACAGGTTCAAGTTGCGCATGTCAAGAAGCACCTGATCTCCGGCTGCTACTGAGTGATCTCGTCGCTGACGATCGGCATACTGCTTCTGGGAGTTCTGCATCGTGGTGAGACGTCGCTGAGTCTTCTCCCATAGCTGCTGCATGGTGGTGAAGAAGTCATGTGCGGCTTGGACGTGTGCTGGTGTGGTTGGCTGCTGTGGTGTGAGTGGTTCCCGTCCGTAACATAGGAAGAAAGGAGTTTTCCCTGTGGCCGCATGTGATGCGTTGTTGTAAGTGAACTCTAGGGTCGGTAACAGTGTGTCCCAGTGGCTGACGTCGTCCTTGCAAGCTGTGCGCAGTAACTGTTCAACCACTTGATTGAGTCGCTCTGTCTGTCCGTCGGTCTGGGGGTGGTATGCTAAAGACATTGCAAGCTTTGTCCCCAACAGTCCCATGAGCTCCTTCCAGAACTTACTGGTGAATTTTGGGTCTCTGTCTGAGATGAGTGTAGCGGGGATGCCGTGGATGGTGATGATGCGGTCGAAGAAGAGGCGAGCAGTTGCTTCAGCTGTAGCTGTGACGTTGGTCGGTATGAAGTGACCCATTTTGGAGAACTTATCGATTACTACGAGGATGGAATCATGCCCCCGTGAGGTCGAAGGAAGTCCTGTGATGATGTCGAGGCTAACGACCTGCCATGGCTGCTCCGGTACGGGTAGAGGCTGAAGTAACCCTGCTTTTTTCTGCTTGCTGCTCTTCATCCGCTGGCACGTGTCGCAAGAGGTGACGAACTGCTGCACGTCTGCTGCGATCCCGGGCCAGTAATAATACTTTGCTATTCCCGCTAATGTCTTGTTGCTCCCGAAATGTCCCGCGTAAGGTACGTCGTGAAACTCCTCCAATAGGATCTGCCGTAACGGGGCGTAGTTCGGTACCCAAATCTTTCCTGAACCCTTCTTTACCGCTAAGTCTTTCTCCCACTGTAATAGCTTCTTGGTCTGTGCTGTGGCGAACTCTGCATCCACGGAGTACCCATGTTGGAATAGACCCTTGAGCAGAGGGTTCATCCCGTCGAGCTGGATGCCTGCTACATGTCCGGGGCGGCTCAACGCGTCTGCCTTGTTGTGTAGCCCGGGCTTGTAGACGATGTCGTAGTGGAAGTGAGTTTCCAGGAAGTCCACCCACCGCACCTGTCGTCGTGAGAGTGTCGGCTGCGACTTCAGGTATTTGAGACTGCAGTGGTCAATATAGACTGTAGTCTTGGCTCCCTCTAGGTAACACCTCCACGCCTTGAAGGCTACGACTATAGCTAAGGCTTCCTTGTCGTGAATGGGGTAGTTCAGTTCTGCTCCGTGTAGCTTCTTACTGAGGTAGGCGATAGGCTGTAACCCGTTCCCGTGATCCTGCATCAGTACTGCTCCGACTGCCTGGTCACTAGCGTCTGCTTCAACTACGTAGTCCTTCTCGGGGTCCGGTAGGATGAGTACTGGTGCTGTGGTCAGTGCTGTCTGTAACTGTTCCATGGCTTGCTGATGAGGAGTACCCCATTTGAAGCGCGTATCCTTTTTCAGTAGGTCGGTCAGTGGCGCTGCTATCTTAGCGTACTGTGGTACGAACCTGTTGTAGTAGTTGGCGAAGCCTAGGAACTGCTGCAATTCCTTCACGTTCTCAGGATCTTTCCACTTTTTGACGGCTTCGATCTTCCGCGGGTCCACGTGTACGCCCTCGGCACTCACCATGTGCCCGAGAAACTGCACCTTCTTCAGGGCGAAGTCGCTCTTCGACAGCTTCACGTAGAACTTGTTATTCCGCAGGATCTCGAAGACTTTCCGCAGATGCTCCACGTGCTCCTTCATGTTCTTGGAGTAGATGAGGATATCGTCCAGGTACACCACTACGCACTCGTCCAGCAGGGGTCGTAGGATATGATTCATCTCCGCCTGGAACGTCGCTGGTGCGTTGCAGAGTCCGAACGGCATCACCAAGTATTCGTAGGAGCCGTATCTGGTACGGAACGCCGTCTTGTGGATCGAGTTGTCCGCCATCTTGATCTGCCAGTAACCCGACCGTAGGTCCAGCTTCGAGAAGACTGTTGCACCACGCAGTTGGTGCAGTAAGTCGTCGATGCGCGGTATGGGGTATTTGTTTTTAACTGTTTGTTTGTTCAGTGCGCGGTAGTCGATGCACAGCCGTAAACTGCCGTCTGGTTTTGGAGTGAAGAGGATTGGTGCACCGTAGGGAGAGGTGGATGGGCGGATCAGTTGTCTGTCCAGTAGATACTCTATCTATTTCTTCATGTCTGTCAGTTCGGTCGGACTCAGTCGGTATGGTGCACGTGAGACGGGTTTCGCACCTGGTTCCTCCACGATCTCGTGCTCGTGGGTGCGTGCTGGAGGTACGCCTGCGGGTAGGTCATCGGGCATTATATCCTTGTACTGCTCCAAGACCTCCTTCACTACTGCAGGGAGCTCGGAACTCGGCTTCTCCTTCTCTGCTGCTGCCATGACCAGTGCTAGGTAACCCGTGTTACTCTCGTTTACCGTCTGTTCGAACCGTGCCAGTGTCGTTTTAGGAATGTCCCCTGTATCTGTCCAGCTTCGTAGTGCTATCCGCTTCCCGTTGTTGTAGATGCACACCTTCCTGTTGACCCAGTCGATCTCGGGGTTGAACCGCTTCAAGAAATCTCGCCCCAAGATGAAATCTGATCCCTTGATGTTCGTGATCGGCAACGTCGGCTTCCACCTTAGCGCCCCTATGTGCAGCTGCAGTGATGCTTCGCCGTGGATGGGAAGTTTCGTACCGTCCACCATCGTTGCCGAGAGCTTGGTCTCCTCGGAAGGTTCCCCAATTTTCTCCAACGTCCCGCGGTCACACACCGAGTGAGATGCACCGCTGTCCACCAGTGCCTGGAGGCGTCGTCCTTTGCATAGCACCTCGAGGAGTAGTGGTGCCTGCTGCGCTGAGTAGCCAAAGAGGGTCTCATCGATAGGATCATAGGGTACATCAAACTGAATACCACCCCTATTTCCTATACCTGACTCAGCACTTTTCTCTGCGAACTTCACCTGGGGGGTAGGAGGATTTTTCCGAGGCTTGTACCACTTCTCTCGAGCCTGGAATTCTCCTCTAAGCCTTGGCAGCTATGTAGGCTTCACCTATGGGCAACGGGGAGCCTTAACACTGTGCTGTGGGGAGAGAATATTAACTCCACGGAACGCACGACCCTTTTCTACGCTCCGTAGTACTTTGCCCAACTTCTCAGGTACCTGAATAATTTCTAAAGGCTTTTTCTTGGCCTCTAAACCTCCCCTGAATTTTTCAAAGGCTTGAAAACCACGAGAAGCAATATTCTTCGTTAGAGTATCTTTATAGGATACTTTTATCGAAATCTTACTTTCATGGGTGTTCGGCTGGAGTTTCCCGGTCGGTGCAGAGTCTTTTTCGCGGAGCCTCCATTCGCCTCGGCGATTTCCCCTGATGCCGGCCGGTCGTGACGTTTTAGATTCGCGCCATTATTCTCTCCTTTTTTCACCCGCTCCGAAGTCGCCACGTCGTCGCCCTTTCCTGCTTTCCGGATCTTTACGCGATCGCCAAGTCGATCCGCGGCTACTGGCGACTGCCGTTTTTTTACTTCGGGGGTGCTCCACTGTTACCGCCCAGCAGTGCCGCAAGTGCCTTTTTCATTTTGTAGCACGACAAAATCTGATGCCCTGCTGCGCCGCAAAACTCGCATTTTGTCGGCTGCTGCTTCGCGTCGTATTTGTCGATGTCCATCGGTTCGGCGAACGTGGGGGGTGCCGATCGCTCCGTGCCGAATGTACGGTTCGGCGTGAAGCGTCGTGTTTCGGGTTGACCTCGAGTCAGCGCATCGTATCGCTCGGCAGCACGCACGATGTCTCTGCAGCCTCCGCAGCGCTGGCAGACTGGATCTTCATGAAAGAGCTCCTCCCAGCCGACATAGTCCTGCTAGCCCTGGCAGACCGCGACGACGGGTCCCGAACAGCCTGCGGCTGGTGGTGGGTCTGCTGATGGACCGGCCCGAGCTGCAGAAGCGCGTGGCGGCGTACTGTGAGGCGCGCGGGCAGCAGGAGCACTGGACCGAGGTCGGGCCCTTCACCACGGTCACTCCGCTGGAAGCGCTCGGGAGCAACCTCATGGGGAATGATAAGTGCGTGGGGGAGGGGGTGGGGTAACTTCATTCCTATCCTCCATCAATCCCTTCTATTACCCCGCTCCACCCGTCCCCTGTTCCCCGTCCATCTCTCCTCTTCTCCTTCCCCTTCTCCTACCCCCGCTCCACCCGTCCCCCTCCCCCTTCCGCCATCCCCGTGCAGGCAGCCAGTGTTCTTTGGCCACATGGTGCTGCGGGTGGTGCCCCTCAACCTCGTCCATTCAGTGCTTTCCTTCCCTATGCATCCCTCTGACCTTTTCCCTTCCCCCTCCGCCCCTTCCCCTGTTTCCCCCCTCCCCCATCCCCTGCACCCCCTGCAGGAAGCCAGTGTTCTTTGACCACATGGTGCTGCAGATGGTGCCGGTGGTGGCGCTCATAGTGCACCGCCTCATCGAGAACGATGCCATGGAGACGGCCGACCGCCTGCTCGCGCTCTACAACTCGCCGCACAAGCACCTGCTCACGTACCACCCGTCGCGCTTTGCGTTTGTGCGCGACACGCTCGCGTACTTCTACCCCGCGCTGCCCAACCAGCTCGTCATTCAACTGTTCAGCATCCTCGACCTCACCAGGGTGTGTGGGAACGTGCTGCAGTTGGGTGTGTGGGAACTTGCTGCAGTTGGGTGTGTGGGAACGTGCTGCAGTTGGGTGTGTGGGAACTTGCTGCAGTTGGGTGCGTGGGACTTTGTGAGCGTGCGTGGGTGGATGGGTAGAGAGGGTTGGGGTTGTTCCCGCTTGTGCCAGCCACTCGTGCAGTATGTGCATCTCTCTCTTTCTCAACCGCTCGAGTCTTAACACAGTTGCTTCTGCATGAAAACCGAACCATCCTCGTTCCTTCCCGCAAGCCATCGCACAGCACCCTCTCGTGTCCCACACTCAGTCAACCTCTCCACTCCTTCCTATCCGTCCCAACCCCGCAATACTCTTCTAACCTTCGCCCTCTGCCTCACACACCACCCATCAAACACCCTCACAGATCCCCTTTGCAGAGGCCTTTCTCAGGCAGATGGACCCCTCGCTCTCCTCCGCTGTCGACCTGCCTCCTCTCTCCTACTTCCTCCGCCTTCTAGAAACCCTCTGCCAGCACATCATCCCCTCTCTCCCCGCCCCTCTCCCCGCCACCTCCGCCCCCTCCCCTTTCGCACCTCTCTCCCCTCTAGACTATTTCCACTCCATCTCCTCCCCTCCTCCTGCGCCCCCAGTCCAACCCGTGCAAATCCCGGGGCTTGGGTCCTTTTCTCCTTCCTCCTTCTCCCTCTCGTCACCCCTCCCAACCGCTCTCACTCTCCGATCACCGCCTTTCTACGAGCACTTAGACACGGGGGGGTTTGCCCAGCTGGTACTGGAAACAGCAGTGCTGGAAATCCTCTCGCTCCCTCTGCCCCCGCCTCGCAACTCCCCTGTGGAGATTCTCTGTGCGCTGCTTGCTGCTGCGGCATTCCCTCCTCTCCATCCCAACGCGGTCGAAGCTTCTGCTGCTGCTGCCGCTGCTGCTGCCGCTGCTTCTGCTGCTTCTGCTGCTTCTGCTGCTGCCGCTGCTGCTGCTGCGGCAACTGGGGATGCAGGCGGGAGGGGGGGTGGAGGAGGGGTGAGGGTGGGTGGGGGCGATGGGGCAGCAGCAGGGGGAACGGATCCGATGATGGTGGATGGAGCAGAAATGATGGATGATATGAAAGAGGTTACGGTGTTACCACCTCGGGAGATGTGGCCGCTCCTGCCTCAAGCCCTGGGGCTGCTACTGGCGAATCTACCGCCTATATTCCAGTCCACCCTTTACACTGTCGTTGCTCAGAAGGTAATTGAGTTCCTGCCCGCTGCTGCTGCCAATGCCCCTCCTGCTCCGCCTGCCTCTGCTGCTGCTGCTCCAGGCGACGCTTCTGGTGCTGCTGCTTCTGGAGCTGGTTCTATGGGCTCTGCTGCAGCTGCTGGGGCTGCTGCTGCGGTTGCTACAGGTGGTGTGGGAGGGGATGGTGGTGGATCCGGGTCAGGGGTGAATGGAGAGGGAGAGGATGGAGAGGAGGAGGGAGAGGAGGAGGAGGAAGGTGGCGAGGGTCATGAGGGGGAGGTGGAGGATGATGTGGGAGCAGGGTCTCGGCTTGTGGACATGCTGCTCATGGACCCCTCATGGGCTATTGGCAACGCCACCTGCACTGAGCTCAGTAAGCTTCTCCTTTGATCCACCTCAACATCTTGTTTGGTTCCACCTCCCTCCCCCTTCCCTCCTTCACGCCCACCTCACACACCTCCCTTACGCTAACACGTGCATCACCTCTCTTATCATCGTGCTCCTGTTGTGGGATTGATGCAGCCACCTAGCAAGACAGCGTTTGAGTGGCCTGAGAAATCCTCCCTTCCGCTGCCTGGTTTCCCTCATGCCCTCCCTTACGCTACTTGTCATGTCACGTGCAGGCATCTGGACAGCAGCAGTGCATGCGATGATGTACGCGCTGCCATTCGATCGCATAGAGGGCACCCACGCACTGCTCGTGCTGCAGCGCCCCATCCGCTCCCCCGCCCACCTGCGCCTGGTCTTCCGCCTCGTCGCACCCATCCTGCCCCGCACGCCCATCTCCAAGTCTCTCTTTGCCAAGGTGAGGCGATTCTGTAGGCACCTCAATACCCTCATCCTGCCACGCATGCGGCATATCTCCATCAATCCCCTCTTTGCCAAGGTAACCCTTGGGACGGTGTTATTGTCATGCTGCATGTGCTACTATGCTGCATGTGTGATGGCCCCACCTCTCACTCCCCCCCTTCCTTTCCCTCCCACCCCCTTCCGGCTCCCTTCGCCCCTCTCTCTGCCGGTCCCCACCAGACGATAGCGCTGCTGTTTTCAGCGATAGCAGACGTGTTTGGAGTGAACTCATCACCGCAAGTGACAGGCCCAGCCCTGGTCTAATGGACAGAGCTCAATCAAGGAACATTGCACTGCATGAAAGTGTCATAAGTGGTACCATTACAATTGACCATGAAGTGGAACAAAAAATCCACAAATCACTTCATTAGAGGCTTTGCCAGCACGAAGCCGAATCAGAGGAGGGGCAGCCTTGAGGGAAACAAGTAACATCCAGTGTGTGCACTTCGGCTTTCATCTTCTATGCCTCCCCCTCCCCTGCCTCTCACCACCTGCCCTAATGGATTCTGGAAGAGCGAGCGAACCTTGCACAAAACATTAACTCCTTTGCTAAATCCTAGCATGCTCCTCCTTCTTGGTCTATGGCCGACACATGTGCATACGGTACAATGTGTCTAAACAGCTTATGTTAGCTCTTTTCTCCCTATACAAGACTCTGGTCTGGTTGCCCTGGACTGGCAGGTCAGAAAGCATCCTTGCGAGCTCGAATCTCTCCCATCACATCTTCAGGCGCCTCTCTGCCTGTCACCGTCTGGAACAAACAAACAAGCACACAACGCAGTAGCAACACAGGGAGCACATGTGAATACCGGTAACACAATAAACACAGGTTCGTGACATTATCGAACCATGTCTGTGCGGCCCGAGAGAACGTGAGCAGCACAGCACTCCGGGGCAGGGACTTTCCCCGATGCAGGCGAGGAAGTTCCTGGAGAACGCATCAGCATGCTGCTGCAAAGGACAGCACCCCCACTAGCAACCATGAGCGGGAGCAGGAGCATGGCGTACCTGCATGCTGGGCAGCTCCACGCGCATGAAGGGGTTATACTTGAGCTCCTGCGCGAGCGATTTTTGAGAATTCTCGCAAGTGACTCCCAATCACTGCCCTCATGGCCTACCATCGTTTGAGAATTCACAAAAGTACCTGCATGCTGGGCAGCTCGACGCGCATGAAGGGGTTGTACTTGAGCTCCTGCGCGAGCGTGGAGGGCACGGTGGGCAGGCGGTTGCGGCGCCGCTCCATGGCCCACTCCATCTTCTCCTGCGCTGCTGGGTTGCTGGGCTCCAGAAAAAGCGCGAACTGGAGGTTCTTCACTGTGTACTGGCAGGTACAGGGAGGGTGGGGGAAGGGGAGGGACATAGGGAGCAGAATTCTGTGATGTCTCAAAAGCCTAGAGAAACAGAGCAAACTTGAAGTTCTTCACAGTGTACTGGAAAGTTCAGAGGGGGTGGGGGAGGGAGGGTGCATAGGAAGCAAGCTTTTGCAAGGTCTTCAGATACAAACATTTTCTGGGTGCTTTTGCAGCATTCTCAGCTTTCCTGTTAGCCACAAAGAAACTTGCATGCGCCCACCGCATGCGCCCACTGGCCAGCCCAACGGATCAGGCATGCTGACCTCATGGCCGCAGTAGACTTTGGTGGCGGGAGGCAGCATCTTGATGACCCGGCACAACGAGTAGTACATGTCTGCTGGTGTGCCCTCAAAGAACCGCCCGCACCCCCCCACGAACTGCAGTGGGCGCAGGGGACATGCAGGGAGAAAGACATGGGGAGGGCGGGTGGCAGGGTGGGGAGGAGGTTAATGGTGATGGCGGGGAATGGGGATGGGGTTGGGTGCAGGTGCATGCGAGAGTGGGGTGGGTGATGGAGCTGACATGCCTGTCGCCATGCACATGATGTATGGGCGTATGGAGGATGATGGAGGGGAGAGAGGTGGTGTGGTGTGGCGGCATGGTGCAATGAAGGGTGTGTCTAGGGAAGATTGTATGGACAATTGGGCAGGTGCGTGTGTGTGCAAGTATGGGGGAGTGAGTGCGTGTGGGTGTGCGTACAAGGCAGTCTCCGGTGAAGAGAATGGGGTCGTGCTGGCCGTTATTGGCTGTCACAAAGTAGCATATGTGCCCGGTGGTGTGCCTGCCGGTAGCAGGGAAGGGTTGGGTGAGGAACCAGAAGGGGGAAGGGGCTGGCGTGTGTGAGTCACAACACAAAGGGGACGGTGATGTGGGGAGAGGGTGGAGCCGGGCAGTGCATGACAGAACACAACGAGACACACAGAGATGCAGACAGAAGAACAGACGCAGAACAACAGGAGACGAGAAACAGCAGGAGGAGGAGAAACAGCAAAGGAAGAAGAGGAGGGGAAAGCAAAGGAAGAAGAGGAGGGGAAGGCACGGGGGCACAGTCACCCCGGGGTGTGCAGCGCCTTGATGGTCATGGTTTCATCGCCCAGCTGGAAGCAGTCGCCGTGCTTGAGCTCGTTGGTGCATGCAGGGATGGTGTCCATGCTCCCCCCGTACACCAGCACACTTGGCAGCATCCGCTTCACCTCCTCATTGCCCCCCGCGTGGTCCCTGTGATCACACGCACGGGGGCGTGGGAGAGCGGAGAGTGGGAGATGGGGAGGGGACGGGAAGGAGGAGAAAGAGGAGGAACGAGGGAATTCGGGGAGAAGAGTGGGAAGGATGGGGAGGAGGGGGAAAGGATGGGGGAGGGAGGAGTGAGTGCAAAGGGAAGTTGCGAAGAGACAGGGGGGTAGGTGAAGCATGGGTTAGCACAAGTTCGGATAACAGTCACAGCAACGAGAGCAACAACACGGTGAGAGTGGAGTATGGCAGAGCTTGGGTGGGGAGCATGGGCAGAAAATGCAGGGAGGAGGAAAGACTCTGTGTGACTTCCAACGGTCACCCCACCTGTCAACTGCCAGTCTCTCTCCCCCCTCTGCTCTCCCCCATTCCCCCTCACCCCTCCCCGCACCTGTGGTGGTGTGTGGTGAGCACGGCGACGACGTTGAGCCCCTTGTGCTTGGCGGCGTTCATCACCAGCACCGGGTCCGCTGGGTCCACCGCCGCCGCCTCCCTGCTCTGCTCGTCGTACAGCCTGCGCGCGCGCGGGAAGGGGAGGGGGACGGTTGCGCGGACGAGGGGGTGGGTGGGAGGGGGAATGCGGGGAAAGGGAGGGGGGGAAGAGGGGGGTGGGTGAGAGGGGGAATGAGAGAAGGGTTTGAATAAGTATAGTGACGCGGAAAATGGGAGGGGTATTTGTCAGTGCGACTGTGCGCCCGTTGAAAAACCGAGCTCTGGAAATGGACGAACGCGAAACGGAAAGGTCACGGTGCAACGAGCAGTGGCGGAGAGAGAACAGAGGAGGAGAGGATGCAGAAGACAGAGGAGAGTAATTTGTGCTGTTTAAAAGCATAGCGTGTCGCGCGTTTGAAATGTATGGTGCATAGTGTGTCGGACTCTCTGCCCTGTCGAACGCGGACGTTGTGTGGGAGATGGGTGGATGGGCGGATGGGCGGATGGGCGGCTGTCTGGGCTTACAGATACGCGTAGTTGTCCTGGAGGACTGGCACGATCATGACCTTCATGGCGACTCGCTGCACACGGAAACGGCACCGACGCTACGACGTGGATAAGAGAAGAGTACGCGCGGACCACGGGAAAAGAGGCGATAAGGTCCGGGGCTTGCTAAGGCAACCCGCACCCACGAGGAAATGACGCGGCGAGGTGATTGGATAACGGCGGGGATACGGAAGCAGGAAAGAGAGGGGGAAAGGCGCTACGAGCGCGCACCTGCGATGACGGAGCGGAGGTAGAGCTAGGCTGGGGGTAACAGAGGAGAACAAGGTTTGTAAGAGTGTGCGGCAGGCAGGAAGGATGGCGAGAAGGAATGGTAGAAGATACTGTAGTCTTTTACTAGCACGGAATCTAGATTCCACGTGGCTCACTTACTCAGCTACGTCGATTCGCACACGTTCACTCGAGGACTGCATAGGAGAGAGTACAAGAAGGCAGCACAAGATACAGTGCCAAACCACTGTTCACACGTTCCTCATACCGAATTCCAACAACGCGAACAAGGAATTCATTTTGCAAGAGCAAAAGATGATACACGTCTGATGCAATAGAGTGAGTGAGCAATGATTGCACTAACTGAGCAAGGAAGGCATGAATGAACATTTAATAGAGAGAGTGCTAACGTTAATAAGTGAATCAAACAGTGAGAATAATATTTGAGGTTTGCATTTAGTGTCTACACCTGGATGTTAGAAGTAGCAAATCTCTATTTCCTTACACATTGTTTTAGTCCACTGTCTTCCCGCTATAAGAAGTTCGATAAGCGAGTTGCAACTCGGAATTTCCTTGGTCCGACTTGGGGAACTGTCGGACCAGCGAAACTGATATGCTGTACGGTTACCCAGGCTCGGCGATGGCGAAGTTTCCCGCCTGAAATTCGTGAGTCCGCTGTTTTCGCTGACATGGAGCTTCACCTTTGAATGAGAAAGCATCCGTAAATTCCTGGGAGACTTGGGTTCGGACAACAGCCAGACCAGGCGGTATTTAGGACCATCAATCGAGCCATAAACGGTTGTGGTCTCTTGGGGAGTCATGGCTGCTGCTTCAGTCTCTTGTATGGCTGTTGATTGGTGTATTCATTCTTTGAGATTTAATCGACTAGTTCTAGTTGTATATCCAGCGTCAACCTTGCGATTTCCCTAAAACGAAGAACTCCATTTGGTGGCGTGTTCTCATCTGCATGAAATTGTGATGCCCTTTCGATCGCGCCTTTCGCGGAACAACATTCCTTTTTCGTTCGTCGCGTAAATTCCCGGTTCGTTTCTTCCTTCTACGATAGGACAGACCGAGCGCGCGGCTAAGAAGTTCTGCGCGTTACCGCCTGCTGCCTGCCGCTTGCCGCTTGCTGCCTGCTCCTTGCTGCTCTGCTCACTCACCAGTGCAAGCCAAAAGAAACGAAACGAAGCGAAGCGAGTTACAGCGCGGACGCGAAGCGATGGCCATGGAGACCGAAGGCTTATCGCCAGCGCTCTTAAACTTCCGCGTGTCTCTCGTGGAAACCCTCGAGGCGTATCTCGGCGTAAGTCCGAGTGGATCATGTATGAGCGGTCACTGATTTTGAGAACACCTGTGTGGAGTAGACTCAGTGATTACTCGGTCCGACCTTCCCGTAGCATCATAACTTCCCTGTGAGAATTTTATCCTTCGGTTGGCCTCACTCAGCAAGTTGATTACTCCTTTTCAACTCCACATCTTCCTGTCTTCCCCGGTTTCCTGATTACAGAAGGAGACGATGCAGCCGTTCGTGAGTGCTGACGACCATGCGAGGTGAACCCCACGCGCTCGCTTTACCATCCTGTCCTGCATTCTGCATTCAGTCCTTCTGTCATCCATGCCCTCGCAACGCTCCTTACCCGCCCTCAATTTTCTGCAATAACCTTGGCATGCGCAAACGCGACGATGTTCTGTTCTGTTCTGTACTGTACTGTACTGTACTGTACTGTACTGTGCTGTACTGTGCTGTGCTGTTCCTCCACCGTCCCTCTTCCCCTCCCCGTGGCCCTCTTTCACAGACCGGCCAAGATTCGCCGAACCAAGGGTCTAGCACCGGTGGGAGGCTTCGGCTCCGCCGCGCGTGGCACACTGCCTCAGAGCGACCAGTTCCCGTTGGAGTTCAACCACCTTCTCTCCACTGCCACCTTCGCCGTAAGGCCCAAGTGGAGTGGCGACATGTGAATCAGGCTTGCGTGCTATATCTCTCCACTCCATCTCGTGTGTGATAAGTCGAGTTTTGAGTCGACTCAAAACTCTACTATTCGCCGTAAGGCCCACGTGGAGCGACGACATTTGAATCAGGCTTGCGTGCTATATCTCTCCACTCCATCTCGTCATGTGCCTTTGTCGCCCGCACATAGACCTGTCCTGATGGTTTGACGTGTGCTGTGCTCCTCTCGGCCCCTCAGGGTATGTCATATTTTCTGAGTTTTTTTGTATTCCAAGTATGATGACATACATGTGTGCGTGCGTGCGTGCGTGTGTGCGTGTGTGTGCGTGTGTGCCTGCGTGCGTGCGTGCGTGTGCGTGTGTGTGTGCGTGTGTGCGTGTGTGTGCGTGTGTGTGTGTGTGTGTGTGTGGGTGTATGCATGCACCAGGAGCCTGAGGACGTGGCAGCAGTGGTGGAGCCTCTCTTCGCCACGCTGCTCCTCAATTGCTGCACACAGCCCTTCCAGGCAGGTGCCCCTGCCTCCCGCCCGCATCCTTCGTCCCTTGAGGTCCCCGCTTCTCTTTTGTTGTGTTTCCTTTGTTCTGTTTTTTTGTTTAACTGAACCTGTTACTTCCATTGCTTGACAGCATCTCCCCGCTCGTCCCTTGTGAGCCTGCTGAATCCGTTCCCATGTTCGTATCGTACACACCCTGTCACCCGCCACCCTCAGCTCCTCTCTCGCCTAACCCCACTCCTCTCATCGTCCTCCCTCCCTCCCCAGCTCGACTTTCTCCTCTCCGTCCTCCCGAGTCTCGCAGCATCGCGTGCTCTCTCCTGGTCCTCCTTCCTCCCAGCGCTCTTCTCGCTGCTCCTCGCGCGCTACCCCACCATCTCCATGCGACAGCTCCCAGGGACACACCACGCCCTCATCACTCCCGCCTCCTCCTCCGCCGCCTCGGCCCTGTCCTCGCCACCAGCACCTGGCGCAGCTGGCACTGTGTCAGCTGCTGGAGCTGCTTCTGCTTCTGCTGCTGCTGCAGCTGCAGGTTCTGTCACTGCCCTCGCCCGCAGTGCCAGCACTGCGGGGGGATTGCCAGAAACGGGAGGCAGTATGATGCTGCTGAGCTCGCCAAGACCCGGCAGTGTGAATCCAGCCAGGCCAGGAGGAGGAGGACTGTGGCCTGTGGGCGCTCGGGAGGGAGACACTCTTAAAGCCCGGGATGTCGTAATTGGAAAGGGAAGCTCTTTAAGTGGAGGTGGACCGTTGTTCTCCCCGTGGGGTGCACACAGGGGGAAGGGCGGATTGGGGAGAAACAGACGGGTGGATGGGGGGGTGCGGGAGGTGGAGTCTGGTGTTCCGTGGTGGGTGAAGGGGATGGTGTGCAAGGTGGTGGAAACCGCAGCAGAGTCTCAGGACCTCAAGGCCCTCCCGGCCCTGGTGTCTCTACAGCTGCTGCTCACGTGGCTCTTAGAGGATCTGGCTGAACGGGCCGCTGCAGCTGCTGCTAGCGACGCTGCTTCTGCCACTGCAGCGTCTGCCGCGGCTGCTGCTCATGCTGCAAGGTTGCCCGCTTCTGCAGCAGTGCTAGCCACAGGAGGGAGTGCAGGCGCTGGAGGGGCCATGTCAGCAGCAGGAACGCCAGGCGGAGGGAGAGGAGCAGCAGGTGCAGTTACCGGTGGGGCTGCAGCTGGGGCTGGTTGGGGCGGTGCGGGTTCCTCCCTGGTGGCTTGTCAGGCTGCAAGGCAGAGACGAAAGGGGATGGCTGGCTCTGGAGGGGCCTGGAGGGCGAGATCGGCTGGGTTCGGAGCAGGGAAAGCAGTGCAAGAATGGTTGGTGGTGTGTGTACGGGCGTTGGAGCGGCTAGTAGACGACACCACCTGCCACGTGCCTGTGTGCACGCTGATCCAAGGCCTGGACCCGTACCAGCTGCATCTGCTTGTCTCGTGTTCCCCACCGCACCCTGCGCGTGCGCTGGCGTGTGGGGTAGCGGCGCGCAGGGAGTCGGTGGTGGGGTATCTGCGCTTCCTGGATGACCCGCTGCTCTGCCCTTCTTTTACTTCCACGGCTCGCCCCCCGGTCTTCACCTTCCGGTCCTTTCTCGGCGAGCAGGTGTATGGGCAGGTGGGTGCATGCCGCATTGCACTGCGTTGCACCGGGCATGATACCGGCTTTTGAATGTTTTGCGTTTCCATTTTCTGCTCTCTCGGTTTTCGTTTGCTCCTCTTGTGCCTTCTTTTCGCAGTCGCTTTCTTGCTCTTTCCTCTCTCCTTCTCTCCTGCTCCGTTTGACCCCATTCTCCCCTCCCCTCCCTCCCCAACCCCACCATCCCCCATTTTATCTTGCACCACCCCCTTCCTCTTCGCGTCCCCTTCTCCCCTCCTCACGTCTCCCTTTCTCGGCCTCTCCCCTTCCTCTCCCCCCATCCCCCTTCACCCAGGAGGCAGCAGAACAGGTGGTGCCGCGCTCTAGTGACTGGGCACGTGCGGTGCGCTGCTTACGCCAGGCCCTGCGCAGCAACCCCAACTCTGACTGGTGGCGCCGCGTGCTCCTGCTCGCGCCCTGCTTCCGCCCCCTCCACTACCCCAACCCCGCCTCCGCAGCCGCAGCCGCTGCAGCAGCCAAAGGAGGAGCAGCCGCAGCGGCAGCGGCAGCGGCAGCAGCTGCTGCTGCTGGGGCTGGTGGAGGGGGAGCAGGTGGGGCAGCAGCTGGAGGAGCAGGGGTAGCGGCAGGGAGTCTTGCGGCAGGCGGAAGCATGGGAGGGGCAGCAGCAGTGTCAGGCCCTCAGGGAAGCGGTATGGGCGGTGTAGGAGCAGCAGCAGCAGCAGCAGCAGCCACTCCTGGTGCAGCCGGTCCCTCTCCCACTGCAGCAGCAGCGGCGGCGGCGGCTGCAGCTGCAGCGGCAGCATCAGCAGCAGCAGCGAGTCTGCCGGTAGTGGGAGGGGGGCAGCTGCCGTTTCTGAGCTCCACATTGTCGCACGCCATGCCGCAATTCTCCTCGGGCATGCTGTGCGAGGCCCTTATAGATCACATTTCCGACCTTCTGACTCTTTCTGCGGCTGCCTCTGCTGCAGCAGCAGCTGCTGCTAACGCCCCTGGTGAGGAACCTGATTCTACTTTTCTCCTTGCTCCTCCGCCTTCGTGCCAGATGCCCATTCTGTCTCTCCACTCTCCCCCCCCCTTTCCTACTCTGCTGCTACACCCTGACTGCATGCATACGACCTCCACTTTGACTTCACCAGTTACTCAAAGCTACCATGCCCTCTTTTAACCCCTTCTCTTCCATCCCCTCTTCGCCCATCCCCCCCCTCCTCACCCCTTCTTTTACCCTCCCCCCTGCTTTCTCCCTCCGTTACCGCGTGTATCCCCTTCCCGCACTTTCCTTGTTACTGCCTGTACCCCCCGCTTTCAACAGGGGAGGTGGGGTGGGTGGACAGTGCGGGAGTGCCAGTGGACAGTGAGGCGCCGGCAGCAGGGCTGTGGCAGCAGTGGCTCGTGCTGGCAGACATCTTCTATTTTGTCGTGCGCAACGGCTTTGTTGACTTTGTTGACTTTGTCAACCGCTGCTCCGCGCGCTTCCCGCCGTCCTCGCCCCCGCCCACGAACCATGTCACGTGGCTGATCGCGCAGGTGTTCCGATTGGACAATGTGGCGTCTGTTCTCAGTGCCGACCCCAACATGGTGAGATGTGGGATGGGATGGCGGTGAGATGAGATGCGATGAGATGCGACGGGATGATATAGGATAAGAAACGGTTAAACACCTACCAAAACCCTCTTTCCCGTGGCCTCCGCCTCCCCCTCCACGCCCCCATTCCCTCCATCCCCTCCCTACCTCCAGCTGGCGACAGTGCGCAAGATAGTGGCGCTACAGGTGACGGAGCGGGCGGGGCAGAGGGGGTCGGGGGCAGGCGTGCTTCTAGAGTACATAGGCAGTGTGCAGATTCTGCGGCTGTGGAACCTGCAGAAGAGCATCAAGGACAGCCTTGATGAGGCGCGCCTGGCGGACTACAAGCAGCAGGGCAAGGTGCTTGACGAGTTCTGGCGCAAGATTAATAAGGGTGAGCAGAGGGGGGAGAGGGGAGGGGAGGGGGGTGGGTGGGAGGGATGTGCTGTGTGTGCTGCGAATGTTTTTTTGGCGCCGATGAGGCCCGTCTGGCGGACTACAAGCAGCAGGGCAAGGTGCTGGACGACTTCTGGCGCAAAATTAATAAGGGTGAGATGAGGTGAAGGCGGAGGGGTTGGGTGGGTGGGGGAGGGGGAGTCCTGTGTGTGTGTTGGAGCTGGCTGTGTTTGCTGGCGGTGGTTGGGTGACTTGTGGGGTTTGTTTTGCTTGCGCGTGTGTTGTTCCCTGTGGTGTGTTTAGCTGTCGTGTGTCTGTCTGTTGGTGATTTTGTGTGTGAGTGAATGAGTGTGTGTGTGTTTTACTTCTGCATCTCTTACTCTCTTCAAGTGCCATTTCTCTCCTCCCGTTGAGCCTCTCTGGTGTTCCTTTCCGGGGTGGTGTGGTGCGGTGTTGTGCTGCGGTGCGGTGCGGTGAGGTGCGGTGCCATGGTGTGTGAGCAGATGAGTTGCGGTTGCAGTACGACAAGCTGGACGATCACAGCACGGGCATGGTGTGGGTGCTCAGCCACACCATGAGCCATCCCGTCACAGAGGCGCTCTTCAAATGGCTCACTGCCCCGGTACGTACCTACCTACATACGTACCTACGTTATGCATACATACATACTGTGTATACTGTACGTGTGTGTGTGATTAGTTTTTCCTTGGGTTTGCACCCTTCCATCAGCCATCCTTACACTTCTTGTGCTCGCCCTGCGCTATGTTACTCCCCCCCACCCTCTTTCTCCGCTCCCCCACCTCCTCCCCCTTCCCCTCCCCCGCTCCCCCTCGTCCTCCCCGCCCTGCAACTGTGTGATCCGCAGGGTGTGAAGGACCTAGGGGGGGGCGTGCGCATGTGGAACGAGGCGCAGCTGCTGCCCACGAGTCTGCTGCAGGGGCTGTCGCTGCAGGTGGCTCAGCGCCTCGCTGCCACCCTGCAGGAACTCATTGCCAAGGCGCATGAGGTGTGATGGCATGGGATATCATGGGGTATATGACTTGATATATTTATGTCTGTTATTGGTTTACTGTGACCAGCACTCACTAGCATTAATCCCTGATTTCCTCCCTGCACGGTGGCACCTCGTATCTGCCCCCTCTGCTACATATCCTGGGTATCCGTGGCATGGCATTCCCCAGAACGGGTTCCCCAGCATTGCCATGGTGGAGACGTTCGCACGGCTGCTGCTGGTGGCGCCACACACGCTCAACCAGACGCAGACCATCCACCCGCCACACACCTTCGTGCAGACCAACACCCGCCAGCACATTCTCCAGGTACCCGCTGCCCTCCCTCTGATACCCGCTGCCCTCCCTCTGATACCCGCTGCCCTCCCTCTGATACCCGCTGCCCTCCCTCTGATACCCGCTGCCCTCCCTCTGATACCCGCTGCCCTCCCTCTGATACCCGCTGCCCTCCCTCTGATACCCGCTGCCCTCCCTCTGATACCCGCTGCCCTCCCTCTGATACCCGCTGCCCTCCCTCTGATACCCGCTGCCCTCCCTCTGATACCCGCTGCCCTCCCTCTGATACCCGCTGCCCTCCCTCTGGTACCTGCACTGATATTCTTGTGCTGTGAGATGATGTGTTTACCTGCGGTGTGTGCACATGCCTACTGACTTACCCGAATGGTGCTCTTGTGTTCTAGCATATGTGTGCTGTTTCGGGCCCAGGATACAGTTCAATCTCACTCTCCTCCATGGGTCGAATCATGGATGGATCTCAGTCATCCTTTGCCAATGTGCCAATCCGCCTTCATCAAGGCTCGATCTCCCACCGCGCCCCCCCTCTTACTGCCTGTGTCACGTCACCCTGCGCCACCTCCCCTGCGCGCCCTTCTCACGCACCTCACTGTGCCCCTCATCTGTGCGCCTCTGCTGCTCTGCCGTCTTGCCTGCGTCCCCTGCCCCCCTGGCTGCAGGCGTCCTTGGAGAAGTATGTGCCGGGGGAGTCCAACAACTCCGTCCTTTTTGAGTTGACACAAGAGACACCTCTGCTGCTCTGCCCTCTTGCCTCTGTGCCGTGCCCACCTGGCTGCAGGCGTCCTTGGAGAAGTATGTTCCAGGGGAGTCCAACAACTCCGTGCCGCTGCTGCTGCTTGAACTCATCAACTACCGCCTCATCCCCTTCTTCCGGTGCGCAACACACAACTCAACCACATTATTACACTGGACTGCGATGCCATCTCCTCCTCCCCCACCCCCCCCTCCCCCCCCCCCTTCTTCTTTTCTCCCTCGCTGCCTCTCCCCGACCTTGCATGGCCACATGATGCGCAAAAGAACGGAGATCTGATTCCCTTGCCCGGACACATCACCACTCGCGCCCTCCCCAGGCCACTATCACGCCCCCCCACGGCATCTCTGCCAGCTTGCAGAGAGAGAGTACTGAACTGTGCTCTTGCTCCAGCCTTGTGCTGCTGCTGCTGGTGCTGCTGGGTGGATGTGCTTCTGGTGGGGAGTGGGTGTGGGGCGGCTGTGTGTGTGCTGCTGGCTGGGTACTGAAGAGACCCCTTGCACACGCTGTGTGCCCAAGCACACAGCACTGATGGCCTTGCAAGCTCATGCTCTTCTCCTCAAGATGCTTTTCTATGTGTTTTTTTTATCGTTCAGTTGTCCTTCTGTTTTCTCCCCAAAACCTTTCCCTCCCAATTCCCCTTCCTTTCCAGACCCCCCCCACCCCCCTGCCGTCTCCCCCCCTTCCACCCGACGCTAAGCAAACTGTTCTTGACAAGCCAGGCCAGCAGATCCCATGCCACCCTTTGCCTTACTTCCAGCCCCCCTTCCGCCCTCTCTTTCTCTCCACCCCTCCTTCCTCCTACCTCCTCCCCCTCCTTCCCTCTATCGCCTCCTCCCTCTCACCCCTCCTCGCGCCCGTCGCCACCTCCCCGCCCCCCCAGGTACCACGGCAAGATGCGGGGGCTGATACTGGACCTGGCGAAGATACTGATAAAGGTGAAGATGGTGGCGGGGCAGCACCGGCTGTACCGCCTGGCGGAGAACACCGCCATCAACCTCATCATGTCGCTCAAGGAGGTCATGCTCGTCAAGAAGGACTCCAAGGTGTGTTGTGGTGTGGTGCGGTGCGGTGTGGTGTAGTGTGGTGTGGTGTGGTGTGGTGTGGAGTGGTGTGGTGTGGTGTGCTGTAGTGCTGTGGTGTGGTGTGGAAAGATGTAGGGTGCTGTGCTGTGTTGTGCTGCGGTGCAGTGTGGTGTGGTGCGGTGTGGTGTGGTGTGGTGTGGTGTGAAGTGACGTGGTTTGCTGTGGTGTAGTGTGGAAAGATGTAGGGTGCTGTGCTGTGTTGTGCTGTTCCGTACAGTGCTGTGCTGTGCTCCAGTGCACTGCAAGGTGTCGTGACATGCTACTTCTGCTACTTCTGCTCCCACTACTCCTTCTCCTCCCACAAGGCGTAAACTGAGTCGTGGTAGTATCAGTTAGTAGAATTGAGACGTACTCTATTCACTCAAGGCTGCCTTCTCTCACCTCCTCCCACCTCCTCCCCTGCCTCACCCCCTCCCTCCGTGCGCCCTGCACATGTACCCAGAACGCCGCGACAGAGTTCTCAGAGACTCTCAACCGGGTGATGGTGCTGAATCTAGCCATCACGATGAAGACACGCGGCATCCACGAGTTTGAGCAGATCGTGGTGCTCATGCCCGCGCTCGACCAGATGCTAGCGGCGTCCACGCACCGCTGGAGCGAGAAGACCCTGCGCTACTTCCCGCCGCTGCTCCGAGACACGCTTTCCAAGAGGCCCGACTGCCGCGCCCAGCTGCTGCAGGAGTGGATGCAGGTGCGCAGCGCATCACGCGTGCGCGGGGTGGGGAGAGCCTGGGGGGGAGTGTTAGGGGAGGGTGTGTGGGCGGAGGGGGAGCACGGGTGGGAGCAAGGGAGGCAACATGGGAGGGAGCTGGTGGGCATTAAGGGTGCGGGCATGGGTGTGTGAGCTTGTGTGTCAGATGCCACATCATCCTTGTTTTCCCAAACGTCTTCCCTTTTTTCCCTGCTTTGTAGGCTTGACACTGGTGCTCCCTCCAACCACCACAGCCTCCCCTCCCTCCCCCCCCCGTTCCGCACCCGTCTCCCGCACTCTCTCCCTTCTCCCTCCCCTATCATCAGGTGGAGCAGCTGTTGCGGCAGAGGCAGCTGCTGCCAGTGCAGCCGGGGCGAGTGGCGGACCCAATGGCGGCACTCAACCTGCTGTCGCAGCTGCCCCCGCACCTGCGCCACCTGCTCTGCGCCGCTGCCTGGATCCTGCACGACGCCTCCCCTGGCTCCGTCAACCTGCAACACCTGGTGGGGCGGGGGGAGGGGGAGAGGGGGATTGGGGGAGGGGAAGAATGTGGAGAGGAATGAAGTGTGGAAGGATGGAGGAAGGAGCTGCAAAGGATGGGGTTTGGTAGTTCTGGAAAGCTGGACTGGGCAGGGCAGTGAACCCCCTGTAAAGGACAGTTTTTGTTTATCATGTCTTTGTGTTGGAGCCACGTCCTTCCGCACGCTCGTTGTGTCCTATCCGTTCTGCTGCTTCAACATCAGCCCATCGTTCTTGTGGCTGCCTTCTCAACTCTCCCGCATGTGTGTGTGTGTGTGCACTGCCGTGGCCAGGCTCTGATGCTGCGGGACATGTCGCCCCATGACGTGACGCGCAACGTGTACGCTCTCGTCGACGTGCTGCTGCACCACGTGCAGGTGAGTCACGCCCGTGACAACCGAACCGAACCGCCCGTAATTCAAACTACCACACCCATGCCTGCTGATAGAGTAGAGCAGATTTCCTTGCTCGATCCATCCGTTTTCCGCTCGCTTCGGTGCACCAATCCCCACCCCTCCCACCGGCAGGTGCAAGTGAAGCAGCGCACGCAGCTGAAGCAAATCCTCCTAGCGGCCTCCGCAGCGCTGGCAGACTGGATCTTCGTGAAAGAGCTCCTCCCAGCCGACATAGTCCTGCTAGCCCTGGCAGACCGCGACGACGGGTCCCCGAACAGCCTGCGGCTGGTGGTGGGTCTGCTGATGGACCGGCCCGAGCTGCAGAAGCGCGTGGCGGCGTACTGTGAGGCGCGCGGGCAGCAGGAGCACTGGACCGAGGTCGGGCCCTTCACCACGGTCACTCCGCTGGAAGCGCTCGGGAGCAACCTCATGGGGAATGATAAGTGCGTGGGGGAGGGGGTGGGGTAACTTCATTCCTGTCCTCCATCAATCCCTTCTATTACCCCGCTCCACCCGTCCCCTGTTCCCCGTCCATCTCTCCTCTTCTCCTTCCCCTTCTCCTACCCCCGCTCCACCCGTCCCCCTCCCCCTTCCGCCATCCCCGTGCAGGCAGCCAGTGTTCTTTGGCCACATGGTGCTGCGGGTGGTGCCCCTCAACCTCGTCCATTCAGTGCTTTCCTTCCCTATGCATCCCTCTGACCTTTTCCCTTCCCCCTCCGCCCCTTCCCCTGTTTCCCCCCTCCCCCATCCCCTGCACCCCCTGCAGGCAGCCAGTGTTCTTTGACCACATGGTGCTGCGGATGGTGCCGGTGGTGGCGCTCATAGTGCACCGCCTCATCGAGAACGATGCCATGGAGACGGCCGACCGCCTGCTCGCGCTCTACAACTCGCCGCACAAGCACCTGCTCACGTACCACCCGTCGCGCTTTGCGTTTGTGCGCGACACGCTCGCGTACTTCTACCCCGCGCTGCCCAACCAGCTCGTCATTCAACTGCTCAGCATCCTCGACCTCACCAGGGTGTGTGGGAACGTGCTGCAGTTGGGTGTGTGGGAACTTGCTGCAGTTGGGTGTGTGGGAACGTGCTGCAGTTGGGTGTGTGGGAACTTGCTGCAGTTGGGTGCGTGGGACTTTGTGAGCGTGCGTGGGTGGATGGGTAGAGAGGGTTGGGGTTGTTCCCGCTTGTGCCAGCCACTCGTGCAGTATGTGCATCTCTCTCTTTCTCAACCGCTCGAGTCTTAACACAGTTGCTTCTGCATGAAAACCGAACCATCCTCGTTCCTTCCCGCAAGCCATCGCACAGCACCCTCTCGTGTCCCACACTCAGTCAACCTCTCCACTCCTTCCTATCCGTCCCAACCCCGCAATACTCTTCTAACCTTCGCCCTCTGCCTCACACACCACCCATCAAACACCCTCACAGATCCCCTTTGCAGAGGCCTTTCTCAGGCAGATGGACCCCTCGCTCTCCTCCGCTGTCGACCTGCCTCCTCTCTCCTACTTCCTCCGCCTTCTAGAAACCCTCTGCCAGCACATCATCCCCTCTCTCCCCGCCCCTCTCCCCGCCACCTCCGCCCCCTCCCCTTTCGCGCCTCTCTCCCCTCTAGACTATTTCCACTCCATCTCCTCCCCTCCTCCTGCGCCCCCAGTCCAACCCGTGCAAATCCCGGGGCTTGGGTCCTTTTCTCCTTCCTCCTTCTCCCTCTCGTCACCCCTCCCAACCGCTCTCACTCTCCGATCACCGCCTTTCTACGAGCACTTAGACACGGGGGGGTTTGCCCAGCTGGTACTGGAAACAGCAGTGCTGGAAATCCTCTCGCTCCCTCTGCCCCCACCTCGCAACTCCCCTGTGGAGATTCTCCGTGCGCTGCTTGCTGCTGCGGCATTCCCTCCTCTCCATCCCAACGCGGTCGAAGCTTCTGCTGCTGCTGCCGCTGCTGCTGCCGCTGCTTCTGCTGCTTTTGCTGCTTCTGCTGCTGCCGCTGCGGCTGCTGCGGCAACTGGGGATGCAGGCGGGAGGGGGGGTGGAGGAGGGGTGAGGGTGGGTGGGGGCGATGGGGCAGCAGCAGGGGGAACGGATCCGATGATGGTGGATGGAGCAGAAATGATGGATGATATGAAAGAGGTTACGGTGTTACCACCTCGGGAGATGTGGCCGCTCCTGCCTCAAGCCCTGGGGCTGCTACTGGCGAATCTACCGCCTATATTCCAGTCCACCCTTTACACTGTCGTTGCTCAGAAGGTAATTGAGTTCCTGCCCGCTGCTGCTGCCAATGCCCCTCCTGCTCCGCCTGCCTCTGCTGCTGCTGCTCCAGGCAACGCTTCTGGTGCTGCTGCTTCTGGAGCTGGTTCTATGGGCTCTGCTGCAGCTGCTGGGGCTGCTGCTGCGGTTGCTACAGGTGGTGTGGGAGGGGATGGTGGTGGATCCGGGTCAGGGGTGAATGGAGAGGGAGAGGATGGAGAGGAGGAGGGAGAGGAGGAGGAGGAAGGTGGCGAGGGTCATGAGGGGGAGGTGGAGGATGATGTGGGAGCAGGGTCTCGGCTTGTGGACATGCTGCTCATGGACCCCTCATGGGCTATTGGCAACGCCACCTGCACTGAGCTCAGTAAGCTTCTCCTTTGATCCACCTCAACATCTTGTTTGGTTCCACCTCCCTCCCCCTTCCCTCCTTCACGCCCACCTCACACACCTCCCTTACGCTAACACGTGCATCACCTCTCTTATCATCGTGCTCCTGTTGTGGGATTGATGCAGCCACCTAGCAAGACAGCGTTTGAGTGGCCTGAGAAATCCTCCCTTCCGCTGCCTGGTTTCCTTCATGCCCTCCCTTACGCTACTTGTCATGTCACGTGCAGGCATCTGGACAGCAGCAGTGCATGCGATGATGTACGCGCTGCCATTCGATCGCATAGAGGGCACCCACGCACTGCTCGTGCTGCAGCGCCCCATCCGCTCCCCCGCCCACCTGCGCCTGGTCTTCCGCCTCGTCGCACCCATCCTGCCCCGCACGCCCATCTCCAAGTCTCTCTTTGCCAAGGTGAGGCGATTCTGTAGGCACCTCAATACCCTCATCCTGCCACGCATGCGGCATATCTCCGTCAATCCCCTCTTTGCCAAGGTAACCCCTGGGACGGTGTTATTGTCATGCTGCATGTGCTACTATGCTGCATGTGTGATGGCCCCACCTCTCACTCCCCCCCTTCCTTTCCCTCCCACCCCCTTCCGGCTCCCTTCGCCCCTCTCTCTGCCGGTCCCCACCAGACGATAGCGCTGCTGTTTTCAGCGATAGCGGACGTGTTTGGAGTGAACTCATCACCGCAAGTGACAGGCCCAGCCTTGTCCATCACAGATATCATCGACTTTATGTGAGTCTCACACCCTGCCTCTCCCCACTTTTATGGTAGCTCTAGTATGTTTCAAAGACATCCTAAAATACCCGCCTGAAATACCCGCCTAAGTGCCCTGCCTAAAATACTCGTGTGTCCTGTCATCCCCACGCGACATAACCCACCCCAGGCACCACGTGCTGCTGCTGGAAGGCGGCATGCCAACGCTGGCAAACCGGCGGCCCAAGCCAGAGACGCTGCAGCTGTGCTCCAAGGCAGTGGAGCGCCTGCGAGAGGACGTGCGCGTGCCCTTCCGCCACCTCTGCATCGACCCCTCGCTCTCCGTCTACGCTGCTACACATCCCAAGCTCACTCGCTCCGCTGCTGCTGCTGCGGCGGCGGCGGCGGCTGCTGCGGGTGGTGCTGGTGCTGGTGCTACTGGTGGTGGTGGTGGTGGTGGTGGTGGTGGTGGTGGTGGTGGTGCTGGCAATGTGATGATTCCGAGTGGTAGTATTGGTGGCACTGCTACGGCTTCTACTATGACTGCTGCTACTGCTGCTGCTGCTGCTCCTACTCTTGGTGCTCCAAATGTCACTGCCGGTGTGCCACTTGGTGCTGCTACTACTCCCCGCTCTGCTTCAGTCACTGCACCTGGCTCTGCCGCTCCCAACACTGGCATGGCAGGGGGAGCAGGAGGAGGGGCAGGGATGAGAGGGGGGCATGGAGGGATGGGGATGGGAGGAGGCATGAGAGGGGGTGCGATGGGAATGAATCCAAACAGTGCTGCGGCTGGTGGCGGAGGGCTCAGTTTGCCTGGGCTGGGATTGTACATGTCAAAATAGCAACGGTCAGTGGTAGCTGGTGTAGGTTGCAGCTTGCAACTTGTTTCTCTTGGAGCCATTTCCGTTACCGGTGTATATTGGCGCGTAATTTTTAACCGTGTCTAAATATGTATATTTTTAAAAGCTGTAACGCTTTTCAAAATTATGTATTTTGAAAGCGAAGCTGCTTGTAATGTAGGATTTGGCAGCGTCGAGCCGCGCTAAACGCCCGTTTTGGAGTACAAAACGTGGGCTGGAGGTCATTTCCCTCCACCCACGTCTCTCATTTTCAAACGGTTTAGCCGATTTTCATTCTCAACTCTCGTCTCCCACTCTCAAGCTGGCGAAGTTGAAGTCTCTTCCCCGATTTCAATCCCCGTCGACTTTACTCTCTGACATTTTCGCTCACAACGCAGCAACCATGGCACTTAACGACGGCGAGGGTAATACCGCTACCGCCTTTGTTCGACCCGAGTCCGGAAGAAACGCACGCGAAATTGCCGGCGATCGTCCTAACAAGCGTCGGGCAGACGACGGGGAAATTTCCCCGACTGGCGTCGACGTACTGCTGGGCGCGACCGAGGCTCACGCCCCTGGAGTCGAGGCACACGCCCCTGGAGTCGAGGCACACGCCCCTGGTGTGCCTCGAGCCCCTGTGGCCCCTCAGGCGCTGGCCGCGACAGAAGGCGCCAAGTCGGCGCCAACCAGCGCGGCTGGCACCCCGCGTCCGCGTCAGCGCCGCAGGCCCGTGGGCCCTAACGCGCCTGTGGGCGCTGACGCGCCTGTGGGGCCTGACGCGCAAGTGGCGCCAAGCTTCACTGCAGCCCAACTGCAGCAGCTTTTGTCCCTGTTACAGCAGCAGGCCCCTGCTGTTACGGAAGAAATCGCTACACCGAACACGACTTCCGTTTCTGCTAAAAGCGAAAAGGCGAAAAACGGAGTCTGTGAAGCGCGCTCGCACGACAAAAACCGGAAGGGGCGAAGACACACGCGTCGCTGCCGCTCCAGTCATGAACAACCCCATCGACAGCGACAATGAAGACGACGACGATGGTGAGGCACATGCCTTAAATGCCGCTTTTGCACCCGTTGAGCAACTCCCCCCACTCCCGTCTCCCAATCCCACTCTAACCGCCGCCTCGTTCAAGAACGCCGCCGTGCGCGAGCAAGCCGAGGTCCTGGAACACCTGCGGGCATACCTGAAGCATGCAGAGCACAAGGTGCGACACAACGAGCCGGAAAGCGCCCTCGAATACCTTGGCGAAGCTTTCACACTTATCACCAACCGCTTCAAGCTACTCCACGTCGCCGACTACACCAACTTCCGCACGGCAAATCGCTTCAAGCTCTACGAAGATAAGAGCGTCTTCACCTCACGCCCGTTCAAGCAAGCCGTCGCGGACGTGGCGGCGATGGAGCGCGCACAAGGCAATTTCAACCGTACCCCACGTGGCGGAGGGCGCGGGCCCATGGCATTTGGCAACAAGCGCGGCCCCCCATTTGACGGCAATGGAAGGAGCTTTCGTGGCTCATGCTTCCGTTGTGGGCAGCCAGGCCACATGGCCAATGCTTGCCCGGAAAATGGGGGAGGAGCCCAAGGGCCGGCACCGGTGGTGTGAACGCCCTAGGGGGCGGTGCCGAGAGGCTTGAATGGAGATGATGGCACTAGGGAGTGCAAAGGCCGCTGGCCTATCCCATAGGGGATGTTAGAAAGGCCGCGGGCCTACCCCAAGGCAAGGGGTGTAGGACTAGGAGTCCTAGGTGAACATGTGATTGCAAGTAATGCTTGTATGCTCTTTTGAATGAATGGGAAGGCCTAATGGGCAAAGTTGTTGGACTCGCTTGAAAAAAAAAAAAAAAAAAAAAAAAAAAAAGGAGCATGCGCTCTTGAGGTGTGGAAGAACCTGAAGCGGGGAACACCTATACGGCATGGAAGCCTACGGTACATGCGGACAAGAGAGAAAGAGATAGAGAGCAAAAAAAAAAAAAAAAAAAAAAAAAGGGAAGTGGCAAGATGTGCGGGCTATGCAAGCCCTGAAATGCAAAGGAATCACGGGTGAGGGGGGGGGGGGGGGGGGGGGGGGGGGGGGGAAGGAAAAAAGGAAAGAGTGGGTGTGGGATTTGGGGTCCCATGATGCCAAGAGCACACGCCATAATGCAAGACAAAGGGTGGCCTACCAAACATGGAAGGCAGCAAATGGCCATCCGAAGAGCATGCGGCACGTGAAAAAAAAAAAAAAAAAAAAAAAAAAAGGCAAGGGCCAAAGCGGCCGAACGAAGGGGCTGCTCCGGTGGAGCACCTCCGGTTGGGCACATCTCAGAACACCAGAGTGCAGGTGTAGGCACGCAAAGGTCTCACGAACCACAAAAAAAAAAAAAAAAAAAAAAGAGAGAGAGAGAGAGAGAGAGGGAAGGGGAAGGGGCGTCGGCATGAACATTTGCGGGCATTGGATCTAGTTAATCGTACGCACAACCTACTAGCCAAACGCCCCTGCTTAAAAGAAGCCCGTCCCGAATTACCGAGTCGGATGGTAGAGCGTCACCACTCTCACGCGATTGGTCCAGAGTTTCACGTGGGTTTCGACAGGACTGGCTTCCGATTCCCTAACCGAACCGCCGCTGGGGTTTTTCCGAACCTACAATTTTCCGTTGACTTCCTTGTGTAATTCGAGTCTTGAGTTTTAACGAAGCACGCCCCATGTTGCCCCCACACCCATGGTCCACTGGCTACAGATATGCCGGGGGGTGGAACGATCGAGGGGGGTGGCCCCTATGAGTTCGCGGTCACTGACAAGCTCGTCACGACCATGCGTGGGCGCCTGCGCACGGCATTTCCATGGTGGAGCTCGTGGTGCGAGAGCAGTTTCATACTCTCGGTGATCGCCAATGGCTACTGGATGCCATGGAAGCATGGACCACCCACGCCGTTCCGGCAAGACAACCACGCGGGAGCGCTAATCCATTCCACGTTCACCAAGCAGGCAATAACCGAGCTTCTCGAGAGTGGTGCGGCCACACCCGCCCCCGCGGAACAACAGCTATGCATCAGCCCGCTAAATGTGGTGGTTCAAAGAGAAAAGTGCCGACTGATTCTTGACCTCCGAAGGGTGAACCAAAATTTGTGTATCCCCAAATTCAAGTACGAAGGACTGAACCGGGTGGCAGAGCTCGTTCATGAAGACGACTGGATGTTTGCAGTCGATTTAAAATCAGGATACCACCACGTTGACATCCACCCTTCCTACTGGAAGTTCCTCGGGTTCCAATTCGATGGGTGCTCGTACGTCTTTCGATCTCTGCCATTCGGGCTGGCGACAGCCCCGTTCGTTTTCACACAGCTCATCAAGCAGCTCGCCCGTCGTTGGCGGGCTCTCGGGGTGCGAGTCATCCCTTACGTCGACGACATCCTTTTTCTGTGTCGCACGGCAGCAGAAGCGCGAACCACGGGTCAGATGGTGGTGCAAGACCTCAGCAAGGCTGGACTGGTTATCAATTCCAAGAAGTCGCACTTGCAACCCACCCAGCAGCTACGGTTTTTGGGTGTCGAGCTGGATACACAGCGCGGCCAGTTCTCCATTGGTCCCGAGCGGCGAGCATCGTTACATTCAACCATTCGCGAATTATGCATGGCTGGCAAGGCCGAACGCAAAGTCCCGATCCGCCACGCAGCCAGAGTTACCGGCATGCTCGCGTCGATGTCGCTTGCCATCGGCGCAACCGCGCGCGCATTCAGCCAGAATCTACTACAGACCATTCAGGATGCCCCTTCCTGGAACAGCAAAGTGCAGTTGGTCCCTGCGGTCATCGAAGAGCTCGAGTTTTGGCTACATGAATTTGACAGATTCAATGGAGCCCCATTCCATGTCCCGAACAGCTATGACGCAGTAATCCATGTGGACGCCAGCGCACACAGCTGGGGAGCGACACTAGATATGTTTCCAGGGAGGCGAATCGAGGCGAGCGCGACCATGCCCGTGCACCTCACGACAGCCTCCAGCACACAACGGGAAATGGACGGAGTCCTATGGGCATTGCAGACATTCTCGGGAAGGATCCAGCACCGACATGTCCTCGCCAGAACCGACAATCAAGGTGTCTTCTTTATTCTTCGCAAAGGTGGTTCGCGGACCCCGAGCCTCACAACAACGTGCAGAGCCATCATTCAAGCGTGCGTCACCTTTGGGATCCGGTTGACAGTTGAATGGATTCCGCGCGAACTCAACACACGAGCGGATGAACTTTCAAAGATGATCGATCGCGAAGACTACGCAATCAAAGCACCATGGTTCCGGCTCATCGAGCGGCGCTTGGGACCGCACTCAATCGATTTATTTGCCAATGCGAACAACACCCAGCTGGCTCGCTTCTGCTCCAAAACTCCTCACCCTGACGCAGAGGCAACGGACGCCTTCTCCATATCATGGGCCCCCGCCACCCCACCTCATCCCAGCGGTGTTGCATCACGCCCAAAGGACGCGAGCATCGCTCACGCTCGTCGTGCCTCATTGGCCAGGGGCAAGCTGGTGGCCGTTACTACAACCCGCCCCGCCCCAATGGGCCGCCTGCATTCTCGCTCATATCTGCCTCACCCATGGGAGCGAGTGCCTGACCGCAGGCACCCACACTCACGCATTTTCTGGGGAAGGATTGCCTCATAGCCCGATTCTTGCATTACAAGTGTCCTTCGCCACCTGACCATTCACACATCTGGTGCAGGATTGCTCGAGCGGCTCAAGCAAGAGTTGCTTCGGATAACGACGCATACAAGGGCTGACTCCACCATTCGCACCTACGAACCATACTGGGCCAAGTTCCGAGCATTCTGCATAGACGTGAAACTGCAGTTCCTGCCATGCACAGACATGACACTCGCATTATACCTGGTCCACGCGATTCAACAGAAGGCCACCATATCAGCAATACAACTGACATGCTCGGCAGTCAGCTTCGCGCATCGGATGATTGGGGCCACGTGCCCGTCGACCGGGCCGTTCACATCCAATGTGCGAGACTTCGCCAAG